CTACGGCACTGGGGAGAGACTCCGGGTTCAAAGTTCGGTGGCATTGGACCCTCTTGGGACGGCCGGGTTAGTTCTCATTGCATCAGAGGGCAGCTGTGGGTAGTGGTTAGAGCATGGGGGGGTCAGGCTGCTTGGGTCCTGCTTCCGACCTGCTGCATGACCTGTGGCGCATCACACTGCCTCTTATTCCATGTGTCTGTGCAGCACCAAAGGCTGCTGATCCCGGACTAGAGCCCCCCGGGCTCCTGCAACCAGGGGCTCCGGAACAGCTGGGGTCCGTAAGGGCGCGCGGCAGGGGGGAAGGGAAGGGGAGGAGCAAGGGGGCGGGGCCTCAGGGGAAGGGGCGGCATGGGGGCCAGGCCTTGGGGGAAAGGGGTGGGGTAGGGGCAGGGCCACGGTTCGAGTGCTGGTGCCCCTCCCACCTTCTGTCACTCCTGACTGCGAAATAAATCAATCCCCCTAACGGTGGGAGGGATCACTCCATGGTTCCCTGGTCTGTTCATTCCCTCCGGGGCACCCGGCACTGGCCACTGTCGGCAGACAGGACACTGGGCTAGATGGACCTTTGGTCTGAACCCCCTGGCCGTGCTTATGAGGCTAGAGGGATCACGCGGACTGCGGCTTCCAGCGCTTGGCCTGGGGATTTCCATTCCTGTCGTCTGCCCCGGCGTCTCCGGCTGCTTGTCCATGTTCAAGGCCTGTTGCCTGTTGCTCCCGAGAGTTCGTTCCCCGTTGAGCCGGCAGGCAGGCCTGGTGCTCCAGATCTGGGCGTGAGCCCCAGTTCACCGCCCCGGAAGCTTGTGACCTGAGTTAACAGTGACTTGGAAACAGGGAACGCTATTTGTGACGTACAGTGCCCCTCTCCTCTTGCCCTGAGTGGGTCATAACCATTGATTTCAACATTCAGTCCTGCCAGGCTTTTCAGTGATACCAACGAGTGGCGTAAGTGATCAACGCCAGGTCCTCTTGTCTGTTCCCAGGCTCCTAACCGTGGGATGGAGGCAATCCGCAAATGTCTTTGCTGCAGGTCCTTTTGGTTCCTTGATTGATTTTCTTCTCACCCTCTCGGTTTCTGTGCTGCGTGCTCATTTATTCTCTCTTTTCACCCCCTCCTGACTACCCTGGCCAGTCTGCTCCTGGGAGGTTGATCCCCCTTCTGCTGAGGTGGAGGCCATCCCGACTACACAGCCTCCTCTCCGCAGAGAAGGTGGGCCAGCGCTCCCTTCCAGAGCACAGGCCAGCCGCCAGTCGTGGGCATGTTCCCTGGGCCCATGCTGGCTGGGGTGGCAGGGCGAGGGGTAAGCGCCTGCCCCATACGGGGGGCTGCAAGGTGAGGGTTGCGGTCCCAGCCCTGGGGGACAGTGTAGCAAGGGGGCAGGCCCGCCCTATGGGGGGTGCCAGGGTGAGAGGTGTGGGCCTGTGCTGACAGTCTTGGGTTCGATCTCTGCTGATGACTCCGGAAGAGAGTCCTTACGGATGGGGCCCCAAATGTGGGGCTGGAACTCCAGTCGATTTCTGACAGGCAGCTGATCCTAGAGCCAGGACCATCACCCCTCCTCTGATCTTGAGCCCAGGGACCCACAGACCTTCCCAACTAAGCCCTGTGCCGGCATCTCCCCGAGCACCTGCAGCCCCAGCTGCTTTGCATGCCCATTTACATAATCCCCTTTAGTCGAAAAGAAAAACACCCTGGCTCGCCGGGGAAGGATGGAGAACACGGGCGCGCGGCGAATGCCAACGAGCGCGTGGAGACGTGCTGCACGTCCACGCCAGCCTATTAAAGTGTCACGTCGGCATCTCTGCTGGAGCGAGCGTGTCTAAGGGTAACGGTGCGGCAAGCAGCAGCATCCCCGTGAGTGACAGCCCATTCAGCCTTCAGGCTGGTTTTAATAATTCTGTCAGAAGCGCGGGGAATTTTCATCAACATTCATTTATTTATTACACGGGTGCCTCCTGCCTGCAAAACCACCGGGACTCGGGGGACTGCGGGAAAGCCATGCAGCTCTGGTGGACTCAAGTCGGATGCTGCTCATCCTGTTTGATCATCGTTACCCCTTCCTGGAGTGAAAGGTCAGAAAGGATCCTTAGATCCTCCGGTCTGACGGCCTGGATAGCACAGGCCAGAGGTGCTAACCCGGTTACATGTGTGCTGCGCCCCGTAACTTGTGTCTGACTGATGTGTGAATGGTACGAAATGGAGTCAAGTATTAGGGGGTAGCCATGTTAGTCTGTATCCACAAAAACAACACGGAGTCCAGAGGCACCTTAAAGACTAACAGATTTATATGGGCATAAGGTTTCGTGGGTAAAAAACCCACTTCTTCAGATGCAGCTGAAGAAGTGGGTTTTTTACCCACGAAAGCTTATGCCCAAATAAATCAGTTAGCCTCAAATGGAGTCAGTGACCTGTTTGGTGATGACCTTCACAGGGATGGTCGAAGAGTCATGGTGAGGCCAATGTGGGCCAAACTGCGGAAGCGTTGGGCGAGGGTTTTGAGGGGGGCAAAAGATCCTAAAGTGCCTTGGAAACATGATTAGATGAGCCTGGCCCTGTCAAACCCCGGGAGGGGGACGTCCCGGGACCCCGAGACAATCACCTGGTGGCTGGTGGCCTGGCTAGCAAAGCTGCACCCTCCTGCCTGCTCCCTCTCTCACTGGCCCTGCCTGGGAGATGACTCTTGTCTGAGCATCGCCCCACTGCCAATGGAAACCCTCCTCTATCCGATGGGATTGGTGAGTCGCTGTTAAGTTAGCCTGGGCCGTCTCTCACTGACTCGGCTGCCTCTCTCGTGGGCCTGGAGAAAAGCAGCCCGCGGGCAGCGGTGGAGTTGGGCTCCCAATTCCCAGGGATGTTTCTAGCCCACTTAAGGCTGAATTACGGGGGGGCCCAAAGTGCGGAGGCTGCCACGAGGGTCAGGTCTCTGCAAATGGGAACAGAGGGGCTTTAGTCCCTGGGCTACTGCCCTGCTGAGCCAGTAAGGGTGTCATTGGTGCTGGGAGCCCATATTCTTTAGCATACAATAAATGGGGTGGGGGGATCTAAATAGCCCTGGCTGCATCGTGTGTTGCTAACACAAGGCTTTGCAGACTTTCTGAGAGGACCTGGGAAGCCTCTGCAGGGGGCTCCGTAAAACACAGGCCAAATCTGTCACTGAGTTTGAGGCAAGAAGGGTTTAAGGATCATCCAGACCAGCTGTTCTCAACTCGGGTACATGGACCCCTAGGACACACAGAGCTCGTCCAGGGGCACATCAACTCACCTGGAGATTTGCCTAGCTTTACAGTAGGCTACATAAAAAGCTCTAGGGAAGTCAGGACAAACTAAAAGTTCTACAGACAAATGAGGAAGTCGGCAATTTGTCAGCACTAGTGGGCTGGGACACTTTTGTATTTGTATGTCTGATTTTGTGAGCAAGTTGTTTTTAAGTGAGGTGAAACTTGGGGTAAACAAGACAAATCAGCCTCCTGAAAGGGGGACAGGAGTCTGGGAAGGCTGAGAACCATCTGACCTCCAGCATGGCACACAGGCCAGGGGACTTCATTCTGTGACTCCCGCCTCCGCTCCCTCGGGCTGGGCCCAAGAGAGAAGCAGCTTGTTATTGCCATTGCCGGGAGGAATTTGGATGAGGTCTCAGAGTAACGCACTTGCCCAGTGCATGTTGTACCCTAACCTAGGGGCTGGCTCAAGTAGGAGGTAACAGCCCACTATTGCTGCCAGCTGATGGGAGTTACTTCTTTAGCTCAGCTGCAGCCCAGTCCCCTGGAACCTCCGGCCCCCACTTCCCTCGTGTTGGTGACGTCATGCCCCAAACGCCTGACTCGGCTGGCTGGCCTCTCCCACCCATCGGCTGTGGGGTCACAGGTGTAAAGGGCTGGGCCCCGGCCCCCCTGCTTGTTGATGGTGAAAGGAGCAAAGCAAGTTGAACTCCCCCGACAGGGTTGAGAAACAGACCTGGACTGTCCACTGCATGGGGCTGGGGAGTAAGAGGAGCTGGGCTCCAGGGGGCAGGTGTTTTGCTCAGGGCAGGGTGGCAGCGTGCGAGGGCTCTGGGTTCAGGGGCAGCGTGCGAGGGCTCTGGGTTGGGGGCAGCGTATGAGGGCTCTGGGTTCAGGGGCAGCGTGCGAGGGCTCTGGGTTCAGGGGCAGCGTGCGAGGGCTCTGGGTTGGGGGGGCAGCGTGCGAGGACTCTGGGTTCAGGGGCAGTGTGCGAGGGCTCTGGGTTCAGGGGGCAGCGTGCGAGGGCTCTGGGTTGGGGGGGCAGCGTGCGAGGGCTCTGGGTTCAGGGACAGTGTGCGAGGGCTCTGGGTTCAGGGGCAGCGTGTGAGGGCTCTGGGTTGGGGGGCAGCGTGCCAGGGCTCTGGGTTGGGGGGCAGCGTGCGAGGACTCTGGGTTCAGGGGCAGCGTGCGAGGGCTCTGGGTTGGGGGGGCAGCGTGCGAGGGCTCTGGGTTCAGGGGCAGCGTGCGAGGGCTCTGGGTTGGGGGGCAGCGTGCGAGGGCTCTGGGTTCAGGGGCAGCGTGCGAGGGCTCTGGGTTGGGGGGCAGCGTGCGAGGGCTCTGGGTTGGGGGGCAGCGTGCGAGGGCTCTGGGTTCAGGGGCAGCGTGAGAGGGCTCTGGGTTCAGGGGCAGCGTGCGAGGGCTCTGGGTTGGGGGGGCAGCGTGCGAGGGCTCTGGGTTCAGGGGGCAGCGTGCGAGGGCTCTGGGTTCAGGGGCAGCGTGCGAGGGCTCTGGGTTCAGGGGCAGCGTGCGAGGGCTCTGGGTTGGGGGGCAGCGTGCGAGGACTCTGGGTTCAGGGGCAGCGTGCGAGGGCTCTGGGTTGGGGGGGCAGCGTGCAAGAACTCTGGGTTCAGGGGGCAGCGTGCGAGGGCTCTGGGGTGGGGGGGCAGCACGAGGACGTGGAGCCCTGCCTGAGTCACTCCAGCTGGGACCGGCCGAGCTCCTCAAACCCCAGCGTGTGGGCTCAGCTCCAGCTGGCGCCTGACTCCTGTCTCCCCGCCCCGCAGGTACGATTCCCAGGAGCTGATGCAAAACTCCAGCTTCTGCCTGGTGCCGTGGGGCCGGCGCTTGGGGTTCTTCCGTTTCCTTGAAGCTCTCCAGGTAAGCCAGGCCCCGTGCCAGGCCTCCTCCTCTGCCCGACACCCCGTGCTGCTCCCCCGCCCCGGTGCCCAGCCACGTGGCGTCCAGCAAAACGTGGCGCCGTCTGGCCCGGCTGCTGTGTGCGCCCGCCGCTGGACGGACAGACGGACGCACACCCCTGCCTGGCTCACCCCGCCCTGTCCCCCCTTCGCAGGCCGCCTGCATCCCCGTGCTGCTGAGCAACGGCTGGGAGCTGCCCTTCTCCGAGGTCATCGACTGGAACAAAGCTGCCATCATTGGGGACGAGAGACTCCTCCTCCAGGTAGGGGCCACGTGCTCGCTGCACATCCTGGGGGGGCCGCCTGACTCCCCGGCCCCTCTGAGACACCCCCCACCCACGTGGCAGGAAGGCCGCCCCTGCTCACGGCTCCTGGGGGTCTGGCCGGGTGGGTGAGGTGGGGACCAGAACCACAGTGAGCTGCATGGGGCACTAATGAGACTCCCCCCGCTTCCTCCATGCAGCGGGAGCCCTAAACCCCCCAGCACCCCCATCAACTGCAGCCCCCAGCTGCCCGCTCCTCAGGGCCCACCCTTTCCGAGGAGAGCAGGAGCGAGAAGCAGCATGCAAAGGAGGCAGGATTGGGCGCTGTGCATCCCCCCCAACCCTGGGGGAAAGGGACCTGCCTCTGGTGCCAAAGGGCAGTGCCAGGCTGGGCTTGCACCCAGACCAGCATCATGGGGACCTCAGCCAGGCCTGGCTTCTAGCTTCCTTGGCACCAAGGCACAGAGGGTCCTACAATCCCAGCTCTGCCCTCTGAGCTCTCTGCCCCAGAGGCACCGGCAGAGATAAGGAGGGGGGCCCAGGGCTGGGGTAGCAGGGGGCTGTGAGGTGGGATTGGGGGCACCGGCAGATCTGGGGCTGGGGTAGCAGGGGGCTGTGGGTCGGGATTGGGGGGCACTGGCAGAGCTGGGGGAGGGGAGCCCAAGGGTGGGGCAGCAGGGGCTGGGCGTCAGAATTGGGGGGCACCGGCAGAGCTGCATGCAGGTGAAACATGCCAAGCTCCTGCCTGCATTGGGCCAGCCAGATTAATGCTGCCTTTACATTGGCTTAGAAGTTGCGCCCCTCCCCACTGGCCGGCTGGGCCCTCTCTTGGGGGACACCCTTCCCCCCCTTCAGGCCCCTGCCAGGCCCCTGCGACTATTCCAGCCCAAACTCCTGGGAATGTGGCACCGTCCCCAGGCCATGCAGGGGTCTGAGAGCAGTATAGGGGGCGGGGCGGCTGTCCCACCCCAAACCCAGCCTGCTGCCGGAGCCGGGGCATGTATCTGGGGCAGCAGGACCCAGGGCTGGGGCACGGCTCCGGATAGTCCTGTTCCCATCTCCGCCACTGACTCAGGGGGCAGGTTCAGGTTGCTCAGCGCCTGCCTACCCTGGGCCTCCCTTTTCCTCTCTGTGAAATGGGCACAATAAGACCAGTCGTGGGCGGCCACCTAGTGAATGGTACAAAGTGTGATCGTCGACTCTGTGGGCCAGATCTTCAAGGGCTCAGCTCCCCCAGCCTGGGTCAGATTCCCTGGCCATCTCGGGGCATTGGCTGCTGAGCCCTCCCGCCCCACGCCAGCCTGTGTCCCCAGAGCTGCACTTACCCAAGAGAGACCCTGGCCAGCTGGCCCCGTCCCTGGCTCTGCGGGGAGGCTCTGGGGGTCATCTTAGCCGACCTTCCCTCACCCCCCCCCCCCGCGGCTCTCTTCCAGATCCCGTCGATAACCCGCTCCATAGACCACGACAGAGTCCTGGCCCTCCGGCAGCAGACCCAGTTCCTGTGGGAGACCTATTTCTCCTCGGTAGAGAAAATCGTGCTGACGACCCTCGAGGCGAGTGCTCCCGGCTTTGTGGGCTCCTCGGTTACAGCCCTTGTCCCCTCACTCAGGATGGGGGAAGGGCCGGTGGGGGAGACAGTGGGTCTGGTTGGTGCACCGGATCGTGGAGGAGGGCAGGATATTGGCTGGAGTGGGAGAACAAGAGACGCTCAGCGGGGAGGAGAGGATGTCCCGGCTCCTTGCTCCTTCCCCTTGGAGCATGGTGGAAGGCATTTAGGGTCTGCCCGAGACCTAGGCGCTGCCTACATCTCCCCTACGTCCTCTGAGCTTTTCTCTCAGAGGGGAAGGGGGGTCGACAATGCTGACACACCGCTGCTGGGTCAAGGGAGCTGCCACCCAGGTCAGGATCTGTGACCTGTGTGGAGGTGCAGAGCTCATTTGCTGACTCATCCTGGCCGTCGGAACAAGTGGCTCCTATGGGCTGTCAGATGGGTTGAGTGTCTGGGAGGGGGGGCTAGGCGATCCCTGCGGGGAAATATTCTAGAGCAGCCAAGCCCAGGGGACGGCTCAAGCTGAGGTTTCGGTGATGAGGTTGTGTAACAGTAACGACAAACCCCTGGAGGCACCACCTGCGTACAGGGGAGTTCATGCAGCCATGTGCCCCTGCCCCAGGGCACCGCTCCACAGCTGCGGGTGTGGAGGCTTGGGCAGGGCCTTGGGGAGCCAGGACAGAGGTGGCCAGGACTCAGACCCTGCTGTGGATTTTCTGGCCTGAACCCAGCAGTGCAAGCTGTCTGAAAAGCACAGATCCTCTGGGCTGGGAGGTTGTAACAAGGCTGGTTCTGGCGGGACCCCACGGAGAGTGCCAATTCAGGACAAATTGCTTAAAGCAGGGCAGTTACAGCCCAAGGCTGCGGTTTCTATGCACACCAAGGCAAACCAAACCAGCCCAACAGAGCAGACTTTGGTCTCACCCCACTGGCTGACCACAAGTCACACAAGCAATTCCCTCGGACACTCCAGTTTCCCAGAATCACCACCAGAGCCACTCGTTATGGGGATGAATAGTTATGAAAACCAATACCCCAGTAAAGAGAAAAGGTTCTCTCGATCCCAAAGGACCAAGCCCCAGACCCAGGTCAATAAACAAATCAGATCTTACCCACAAATCACGCTGTTGCCAATCCTTTAGAATCTAAAATCTAAAGGTTTATTCATAGAATCATAGAATCATAGAATATCAGGGTTGGAAGGGACCCCAGAAGGTCATCTAGTCCAACCCCCTGCTCGAAGCAGGACCAATTCCCAGTTAAATCATCAAATCATCATTCATAAAAGGAAAAGATAGAGATGAGAGCTAGAATGGGTTCAGTGGAATCACTGACACACAGCAGTGGCAGAGTGCTTGGTTCAGACTTGCAGCCGTGATGGAATAAACGGCAGGTTCAGATCAAGTCTCTGGAGAACATCCCCAGCTGGGAGGGGTCTTTCAGTCCTTGGTTCAGAGCTTCAGTGTAGCCAAGTCCCTCCAGAGGTAGGAAGCAGGACTGAAGACAAGATGGAGGAGCTGCAGTAACTTTTTACAGTCTCTTGCCATGTGGCGTCTCTTTCTGTGTCCCAGGGACAAGCTGCCCCTCACATGGCCTGGAAACACCTCAGCGTTCGGTCCCTAGGCAGGTCCCTGCACACCTGGCTGAGTCCCCAGGAGTGTCTGCCTTCTCTCAGTGGGTCAGTTGTGTCGCTGATGGTCCTTAATGGGCTAGGCAGAGCTGACACCAACTCGTCTGGGGTGTCCCCCAGAAGCAGAGCACAAGTTTGAAATACAGACAGTCTAGAGCCAATACTTACAACTTTAAATACAAAAATGACACATGCAAGCAGATAGCATCATCCTAACCAGCCAACCATAACCTCGTCTGAGAAGCCTCATTTGACCCCCTTTATACAAGACTTGGTCCCACTACAGGACCTTGGTTGCAACAATGTTCTATACAGTCCCAGTTCAAGTCAATAACGTCACAAAGGTGCACCAGAAATGCAGCTGTTCTCTCCAGCAAGGGCACTGGAAGGAGACTAGGAGGCCAGGCCCTTGTTTAACCTCTCCCATCCCAAGTGCTGCCACACGTGAATGAATAAAGCCTCCTCATCATCCCCATTGTGCCGGTGGGGAAACCGAGGCACAGAGTGACTTGCTCAGGGCTGCCTGGGGTCAGCGGCAGAACCAGGAGAGAGGCAGCACCCTGGGCCCAGCCCGCACTCTCTGAAGAGTTGCTGGTCTGGTCTGTGCCTCTCCCGAGCTCGCCCTAGCCCAGCGAGAGGCGGGTGAGGCTGGCGGTGGCTCGCTGGGATGCGGTCTGGTCTGAGGCGGGAGGGGAGAGGGCTCCTCGGGGAGTGTGAAGGCCGCTACAGGCCGGTTATCTCTGTGCTTCATTCATCGGGCAGTTGGGGGCCCGGGCTGCGCTGCGGGGGCTCAGTGGCCTTAGGAAGGAACTTTGCAGGTTCTCAGCAGTGCAGAAAAGGTCCCCAGCAGCTGCCAACCCAGCTGGTGTGTTCACGGCCTGGAGCATCGTGGTGCCCAGGGAGATCAGGGTACCAGGCCATGGTGTTACCGCCGGGCTGGGAGAGGCCAGGCTGGATCCACACGACAGGCTGAGGAACCGGCACAGGGGGCCGGGCGGTGGGGGGACCTTGGTTGGTTGGTAGCTGCCATGGGTACACCCTGTCACAGGCTAGGGCCACCTCTGGCCCCCAACCCCAGGCCTCAGGGTGGGCTCCTCAATCTGGCATGCGGCCATGTCCCGGCTAGTTCGTCTCGGCTGCACCAAGATGTGATCAGAGCCCTTGGCCCTGTGTAACGACTCCTGCTCGGCTGGGGCCCTGCACCGGCAGATCTCAGTGGGGGCTTGGGGCCTTGTGCCGGGTGCTGTACAGACCTTTCAGTGAGAGACGCAGGCCCAGGCCCACAGAGCTCCATGTAGACACAACAGGGAGCGGGGCCAGCTGGAACTGGGCGGACGACAAGGGCCCAGTGGCGCAAGCGAGCGTGGCCCTGTGAGCAGTAACCGTCGCTCGCTGCCAGCCTGACCGTGGCTGTGCAGCAGTTTGGAGATCTGGGAGACCCGGGTTCGATTCCTGCTCCCCAGCCACCCAGTGTGACCCTCAGCAAGTCCCTTAGCCCACCGAGGAAGAGAGGAAGGCTGGCCCAGTGGTTAGGGCATGCCCCTGGGGCTCAGGCGTCCTGGGTTCTGCCCCAGACTCCACTTGTGATCGTCGCCCAGTCGTGCACTGGGGATCATAGTGCCGTCCTGCCTCACAGGGGGCTGGGAGGTGCTCAGATACCATGGTGATGGGCGCCTTGGAAGTGCCTAAGACAGACGTGTACAGATCAGTCCCAGGTGGGCTGGCACTCGGCGGCTAGCCCAGGCCACCACGTCTGCCCTGCTGCTGCTGCCCATGCTGGCTAATGGAAGCTGGCCCGGCACAGCTACACCGGCCGCATGGACCCACCTCTAGAGGGGCTTGTTAACAATGCCTGGGCCTGTTACACCAAATGAGGGGGCTCAGCCCAGCATCTGCTGCCCCGGGGCGCTGCCGCCTGGAGGAGTCTCAGGTGCCCAGTGCAGGAGCCGTCTTGGGGAGCTCAAGGCAGGCTGAACAAACCCCTTTGACATGCGGATGGAGCAGGTTTGCTCTGGAGAGGAGACGTTTATTTCATTTTGGGCGTTGAGTTGATAAACCAGCCCCTAAGCCTGGCTGTTGGGTTGGACTGGAAACGCCCCAGCGGGAGTTTATTCGGGATCCACGAAGGGAAACTGAGGCGCAGCCACCAGGGGGTGCAGTCAGGTGGCCACTCATCTGCAGGCTCGTTAGAGCAAAATGAAAGCATGGGGAGCCCTGAATTATGGGGCAACGCCTTGGAGCAATGCAGCAGCTCCCCCAACCCCTGCAGAGTTAGGTTGGGTGCTGGGGACACCTCTCTCCAGTGCAGAGCCCAGCCTTGCTCCCTGGCATGGGAGCCTCACCCACTGCCCCGGACACTCTCCCTTCCGTGGCACTGGGTAAGGTGTCCCGGGCCATGGGGCACGTTGAGTTGTTTATGGTGTGTGTCTGGTCCCCGGGGCACGATGGTGAGCACAGAGCCTGCTGCCAGCTCTCCGCAGGGCCTTGAATCCCCAACGCTCGCTGCTCCGACTCGGTCCCTTGGCGTCCAGCGGCTGACCGGCACCAGCTGGCCTCCCCTCCAGCCTAGGCCCCTCTAGGATCAACCTTGCCCAGCCGACTGGTGACGAGAGGGGTTAACCTGAGTCTACACTGGGGAAAGGTCGCGGCTGTGCTGGGGCCAGGTGACATGTGTTCGCTAACCCCACCTCTTCTCCTAACCTAGACAAACCCAGTGCGGGACAGAGCCCAGCCCTCCAGCCGCTAGCAGGGATTGCTGTGGTGTATGGCCCGGCCTGCTGGTTCCCGCCCCGGGGAATATGGGACAGGGCCGGAGGCCGGGGCAGTGCAGCGTCCGTGGCTGAGCCTCGCAGGGCCCAGCCCAGGGTCAGTAACGCAGCTCCCCCGGTCCCCTCGTCATTTTCAGATCATCCAGGACCGAATCCAGACGCACATCAGCAGGAACCACGTGATGTGGAACGCGCAGCCGGGCGGGCTCTACGTTCTCCCCCAGTTCTCCACCAGCCTCGCCGACTTCCCCTTCTACTACTGCGCCCTGGGTAGGTGGCAGCGATGGGGAGGGGCCAGGCTCTGGGAATGGGCCCCGGGGGGCCTCAGGCCCGGCGAGGCGTCGGAGCTGGCCCTGGAGTCCCTGGTCGCCCAGGCTGGGCTGGGAGCTCCCGATGGAGTAACAGCCCGTGGGCTGGGCAGAATATGCAGGGTTCCTGGATATTTCTCCTGGAGGGGCCGTGGTGCCCTCATGCTTTGGTGCAGTGAGTTACAGCGGGTGGGGTTCGCTCGGGAGCGGCCAGGACAGCGATAGCGGGGTGAAGGGGGGGCTGCTGGTCAGGACGGGGCATCGGAGGGGGAAGATCAGTGGGTCACGCACACAGCTCTGCTGCTGCTCCGGGATCCTGAACCTGCAGCGCCCCCTGCTGTTCCAGCCCAGCCTGTGGCAAACGGGCTTTTCCCGCCGATCGCTTGGGAGGAGCCGGCTGGAGACTCACTCCTCAGTTAGCCCCACCCTAGAGCGCTGGGTGGGAGGGGCGGTCACGGCACCGGATCTGGCCCATTTTACAGTGTCCAGCTCTGCCGGCCCCCTCAGTCCCAGTGTGCCGCCCTCCCAGTCATCCCAGCCCTGGGCTCCCCATACACAGCTCCGCTGGCCCCCTCATTCCTGACCCGCAGCCCCCCATGTTATCCCAGCCATGGGCTCCCCCCATCTCTGCCAGTGCCCTTCAATCCTGGCCCACAACCTCTGCTATCCCAGGCCTGGGCTCCCCACACCCAGCTCTGCTAATGCCCCTCAATTCCCCCTGCTACCCCAGTCCCAGGTGCCCTTCATACTGACTTGCTCCCCTTCCTACCATTCCTTTCTTGCTGTTCCCTTTATCTCCCTTCCTACCCTGCAGCTGCTGGCCAGCCCCGCCTGGAGTGGGGGCTGCTCAGTTGGTGGCAGGCTGCGGATTTACGGGAGGGGATTGTTTCCTGCAGGGATCTCTGGAGAGCAGGGTTTGCTGGCGTCTCCGCCTGGTGGAGATCGGCCCTTCCACCCGCTCACTGATGCCCTCTTGCAGAGACACTGACCTCCCGGCTGCACCTAACCCTGCATCAGCCCCGGGGGTGGGGTTAGAACTTGTACAGTGGTGCCACGTCCCCCTCGAGTTGCCGGTCCCGTGAATGGCGTTACTCCTTTAGCTAAAGTGGCAGAGGTCTGATGCGGAAGGTCCTGGGTTCAAACCCAGGATGTGCCTGGTGTCACTCTCCGATTCCCAGCATGGAGGCTCCTGGTTTGTTTCAGGATCCCGCTTAAAATTTCCGTCCTTATTTCTAAACCAGCCCATCAAAGGGAGGCAAAAATAGGGGCCTGCCTTTTTTGTGTGCTGTGTCTATCTTACAGTTTAAGCGTGTGGCCCATCACCCTGGTATCTGGGCACCTTCCACATAAAATCTATGGCACTAGTGCCATTCCTGTTGGACATCAGTGAGTCCCTGGCATGCTCCCTTTTCAGAATTAGACCTTTGCTGGGAGGGGGTTAGTTTTGTTTTCAGATTTTATGAATTTTCCCTTTTTCCGCTGACATATGAAGAAGACCAGAAAGTCTTTTTTCCTGCTTCGTTTCCACTAGAAAGCCAGGTCTTGTCTAGCTGGAACTCTACGGGCATCACAGGAGAGTGAAAGCCGAGTGATTGGGAGGGGAAGGGTGTTTTAGTCGGATTGGTCCAGACTTGGTTTTTATCACCCATCCATTGCCCAGCCAACTCTTGGGAGAAAGGATGTCTCTGGCAAAGAGTGACCTCTGGTAAAGACGCCCTGGGGAGTGAAAGAAGAGCTTGACAGCCCGACCGCTCCGGCTGGGAGAGCAGGGGGTGCAGAGCCCAGCCCAGCGCTGAGGATTGTTTTAAATCTCTGGATTTTGAAGCCAATCTCCTGATTGTGGGGGCTGACTCCTGAGCGCACAGAGCCAGCGATGCTGCGGCCCCCTTGGCTATTCCCCGTCCCCCATGGCCAGGCCCCGAGAGCGCTATGAACTCCTCTGTGCATCATCTCCGCCCCAGCCCTGCCCAGCTGCTGGCCCCGCCCGGGCTGTTCCCCTTCCCCTCCTGGCTGCCGTGTGCCCCTTGCCCCTCAGCTTGGCCGGAGAGCGCCCGGGCCAGTCCGAGCCGGGCCGTGTGTCGTTGCAGGACGCAGCCCAGCCAAGGAGTTCACCGCCGTCATCCAGGCCGCGTCGCCGCTGCTCTCGCAGTCCCAGCCCATCGTCAGACTCATCCTCGCGGTGGCCAAGTCCAAGTATTGTACCCAGGTACGGGCCCACCTGCCAGGAGACGCTCCTCCTCCCGGTCCCTTGGGCCTGGGCCTCTGGTCTGATCCCTGAACAAGCCCCTGGCCAGCCACAGTGGGAGCTGTGCCTCTGCACCCCAGGGTGGGGCTGGGAGAGGAAACCACGGGGAGCGAGTCCAGGCCGTTCCGGGGATGGAGGCTCAGTGGTAGGGGATGGGTCCAGCCGTTCTGGGGATGGGGGATGGGCGGCGGGTTCGGTCAAGGCCGTTCCGGGGATGGAGGCTGGGTGGCAGGGTCGGTCAAGGCCGTTCCGGGGATGGGGGCTGGGCAGTGGGTTTGGTCAAGGCCGTTCCAGGGATGGGGGATGGGCGGCGGGGTCGGTCAAGGCCGTTCCGGGGATGGGGGGGTGGGTGGTGGGTTTGGTCAAGGCCGTTCCGGAGATGGGGGATGGGTGGCAGGGTCAGTCCAGGCCCGTCCCTCCAGGGCCCTGGGTGGGTCTGGCTGAGGTGCTATCCCCGTGGGCGTCTCTGCTCGGGCCATGCACCGTGCTGACCGGCGTGATGGTAGCCCCGGCTCTGGCCTTGGGGTGGCCGAGGCTGGTGGTGCTGGCTGGCCGTGGCTGACGGTTGGCTAAGGTCTGAGTCTGGGGCTGGTCGGGGCCGTAACCCGGCCCTGCCTGTCACCGCTGCAGATCGTGGTGCTGTGGAGCTGCGAGAAGCCCCCGCCCCCGAGGAGCCGGTGGCCGTCCGTCCCTGTGCCCTTCAGCGTCGTGGAAGGGGAACACAAGGTAGGGGGGCCCCGGGGCTGCGGCACTGCTGGAGGTGGGAGGGCAGGGAGGGGAGCAGTGGCTGGGTTTGGGGGTGGGGGTCGCACTGCTGGGGTTTGGGGGTGGGGGTGCATGGTCGCAGTGGCTGCGGTTTGGGGGTGGGGGGCGTGGTCACAGTGGCCGGGGTTTGGGGGTGTGCGGTTGCAGTGGCCGGTGTTTGGGGGGTGGCTTGCTGGGATTAGGGGATGTGGTCGCAGTGGCTGGGATTTGGGGGTGGGAGTGCGTGGTCGCAGTGGCCGGGGTTCGGGGGTGTGTGGTCGCAGTGGCCGGCGTTTGGGGGGTGGCTTGCTGGGATTAGGGGACGTGGTCGCAGTGGCTGGGATTTGGGGGTGGGGGTGCGTGGTCACAGTGGCCGGGGTTTGGGGTGTGTGGTCGCAGTGGCTGGGATTTGGGGGTGGGGGTGCGTGGTCACAGTGGCCGGGGTTCGGGGGTGTGTGGTCGCAGTGGCCGGTGTTTGGGGGGTGGCTTTCTGGGATTAGGGGACGTGGTCGCAGTGGCTGGGATTTGGGGGTGGGGGTGCGTGGTCGCAGTGGCCGGGGTTTGGGGGGTGGCTTGCTGGGATTAGGGGACGTGGTCGCAGTGGCTGGGATTTGGGGGTGGGGGTGCGTGGTCACAGTGGCCGGGGTTTGGGGGTGCTTGTGGGATTAGGGGTGTGGTCGCAGTGGCTGGTTTGGGGGTGGTTTGGGGGGGTGGCGTTGCTGGGATTAGGGGATGTGGTCGCAGTGGCTGGGATTTGGGGGTGGGGGTGCGTGGTCGCAGTGGCCGGGGGGGGTGGGGTGTTTGGGGGTGTGTGGTCGCAGTGGCCGGTGTTTGGGGGGGTGGCTTGCTGGGATTAGGGGACGTGGTCACAGTGGCTGGGATTTGGGGGTGGGAGTGCATGGTCGCAGTGGCCGGGGTTTGGGGGGTGTGGTCGCAGTGGCCGGTGTTTGGGGGGTGGCTTGCTGGGATTAGGGGACGTGGTCGCAGTGGCCGGGGTTTCGGGGTGGGGGTGCGTGGTCACAGTGGCCGGGGTTTGGGGTGTGTGTGGTCGCAGTGGCCGGTGTTTGGGGGGTGGCTTGCTGGGATTAGGGGGTGTGGTCGCAGTGGCTGGGATTTGGGGGTGGGAGTGCGTGGTCGCAGTGGCCGGGGTTTGGGGGTGTGTGGTCGCAGTGGCCGGTGTTTGGGGGGTGGCTTGCTGGGATTAGGGGGACGTGGTTGCAGTGGCTGGGATTTGGGGGTGGGGGTGCGTGGTCGCAGTGGCCGGGGTTTGGGGGTGTGTGGTCGCAGTGGCTGGTGTTTGGGGGGTGGCTTGCTGGGATTAGGGGACGTGGTCGCAGTGGCTGGGATTTGGGGGTGGGGGTGCGTGGTCGCAGTGGCCGGGGTTTGGGGGGGTGTGGTCGCAGTGGCCGGTGTTTGGGGGGTGGCTTGCTGGGATTAGGGAGTGTGGTCGCAGTGGCTGGGATTTGGGGGTGGGGGTGCGTGGTCGCAGTGGCCGGGGTTTGGGGGTGTGTGGTCGCAGTGGCTGGTGTTTGGGGGGTGGCTTGCTGGGATTAGGGGGCGTAGTCACAGTGGCTGGGGTGGGGGAGCGTGGCTGGCTGGGGTTCAATTGCTTTCTCTTTGCACAGACCATGAGCAGCCGTTTCTTCCCCTACGACCTCATCCGGACGGACGCCGTGCTGAGCCTGGACGAAGACACTGTCCTATCAACCAGTGAGGTGAGGGCAACGGGGGGGGGGGGGGGGTCCAATAATCCCCATTGTCCCTCCCTGCAGGAAGGGGGCACATCTCTTAGCTGGGGGGCCAGGGGCCAGGGCTCGGATAGCCCCAGGGGCTGGCTGGGGGCAGCTTCAGTCGAGCGGGAGAGGTGGGAGGAGGGGCACCGGCAGAGCCCAGCAGAAGAGTCGGGGTCCGGTGCCGTTTGGCTGTGTTCTCGGTGAATAAAGCAGCCTGGACCCTCAGGGGCAGGAGAGGTTGGCGCTGGGTGCTGGGTGCGTGGCTGCTTCCATGCAGCCCCGGTTCCCAGCTGCCCCCTGGCTGGCCCTGTGTGCTGGGCACTGCTGTCAGGCCTTCTTCATAGAGCCTGGTGTGTGGTTCACAAGAGAACGGGCCAGGTTTCCCCTCCGCACTCTCCCGGACCCGATGGGGAATTACAGACACCAAACCTCCCCGAGGCCGGCGGGGGACTGTCCCTGTCGTGGGCAAGGGGCAGATCCGGCTCTGGGTGTGCCAGGGGAAGGGGAGACACCGGGTCCCTGAAATAGGGGGCAGGGGGTGCAGTGTTTCCCCTTCTGCATTATTGTAGCCGGGGAGCCGGGGCAGGCTGACTTGGTCACAGCCAGCACGAGAGCTGGGCAGGGGAGCTGGGCGCCCTCCTGGAGGCACCATGTGGTGGCTTGGGGAGAGGGGGCTGCAGGCTGAGGCTCCCAGGCCACTGCCCCCCAGGGCTAGGCAGAGCCTGTCACGGAGTCCCTGGGCGATGCTCTGGAACTGCTCCCCATGAAGCCAGTCAGGACTCTGGGGCAGTCGCCTTTCTGTGAGCAGCCTGTCTTTAGGACACGCAGCTCACACAGCTTCCACCTTCCTGGGTCTGACCTCGGAGCATTCAGCATCCTCTGCCCCTCCGTGCGCTTTCCCCCAGCGAGTCCACACAGGTGGGGCTCCTGGGGAAGCCAGAGGGTCCTGCCCCCCAACTTCGCAGTCAGATGTGACTCTCAGCCAGCCAGTAAAACAGAGGTTTATTAGACGACAGGGACATGGTCTAAAACAGAGCTTGCAGGTGCAGAGAACAGGACCCCTCAGCTGGGTCCATTCTGGGGGGGCAGTGAGCCAGACAACCACGTCTGCACTTCACTCCATGTCCCAGCCAGCCCCAAACTGAAAACCCCCTCCAGCCCCTCCTCCTCAGGGCTTTGTTCCTTTCCCGGGCCAGGTGGTCACCTGATTCCTTTGTTCTCCAACCCTTCAGCTCTCACCTTGCAGGGGGAAGGGCCCAGGCCATCAGTTGCCAGGAAACAGGGTGTTGGCCATTCTCTGTGTCCAGACTCCTGCACACACCTGCCCTCTAGGGCTCTGCAATGATCATACACCCTTACCCCACCACCTAGATACTTAAGAACTGCATGGGGAAACTGAGGCACCCCCACACTATTCAGAGGAAACATTAAGAACAGTCCCACTTCATCACATCTCTCCCCCCTTCGAGATCGAACTGAGCGGGGTCACTTTAGCCGGTGACCTGGGGAAGTTCGAAGCCACCAACGTTCCCATGGATGCCCCAGCATCTCTCCCATTCCTTGGTAGGAGTTACACCAGGCCCTTCCATTTTCACACCCTCCCTTAGGTCAGGGGTGGTCGATAGCACTCGCAGGCCGCATGTGGGAAGGTTTATGCAGCCCGTGCCCTTTGGCCACCCCAAAACCCCAGGGGGTCAAACTGGGATTGGGTTTTCTCCCAGAGCTCCAGTCTGGAGGGCTGCAATTCGGGCTCTCTTGGTTAAGGGCCCCCATCTTGACCTGGGCCACATACTGTTCACTTACAGAACTAGCATGGAGACATCCCTTTCCCAACAACCTTGTCTCCCCAACAAGCTGGCCAAACACAGCCACTTGGTTATAGGACGGTATACCTTTCTTAATAGCTTTCACTCCATCTGAGACCTTCTCAAAGCTCTCCACACTGGATCTTTCAACAGGAAAGTCAGTGGATCCATTCACAACAGAAAATTTCTGGCTGTTAGGAACTTAAACTTTCTTGATTAAATCACTTTCACACCCTTCAGTGGCAGTAAACTGCTTGCAAAGACTCCATGAGGATTCCTTTCCCGAGGGCTTTTCTATGCAACAATTCACCCCCTCCCAGAAATTCTGCTCTTACCCTCTTTACCTACGGCTTGCTCTAGGGGAACACTTTCCTGAGCAACTACAGACTCTTTCTGGGTCTCCCTTACATCCAGAATCACCTCTGGCCCATCAGGCGGATTCCTACACAATCCCCTTTCATGCAAACTTACAGACTTCCTAGATAAAAGGTTAGAAGCATTCTCCTTCCCTTTGCCACACACAAGTTCAGGAATCTTTTCCTTCTTGCTACAGGTTTCCACACCCTCAGTAGGTTCCACAATCACATCACCTTCCTGCTCTCCTTGTGCCCTGGCTAGGATCTCACCCTGATTAGACAGAGTTGCTACACCCTTTCCAACAACACACTAGCAACAGGCAAAATACCAGCACCAGAATTGTCTGGTCTCGGGGATTTTACATAGACCCTAACTGGATGCGACCTAGTTACAGGGCCATTCTCCCGAGCAGACAGAAACTTAGGACCCTTCCCTTCCTGGGCTTTAGCTGAATCCAGAACCAGCTCTGAGACAACTGCATGACCCTCAACCATCACAGGCTGAAAGGCCCCTTCTGTCTGCTCCACAGACCAAGAAGAGCCGGACACACTTTCTCCTTTACCAGACACACAGGTTGGGATCTCATTCCCTTTGTCCCAGCACACAAGGCTGGTCACAGACAACTGCTTGGAGATCAGGGTAGCTCCCTCCATAGGCAAGTCAATACCCCTGACAGAGAGACCCATTTCCTTCACTGTCCCAATTCTCCACCCAGCTAACAGGTAAGGTCCAGGGACTCTCATCTTCCACTCTCCTCGCCTTCCCACCCTGCTGACTGGACACAGCCATCAGCTCACAAGGCTGCCTAGGCTCATCCAAACTTCCCTTACCAAGCACCTTGCCACTCCCCACAGATCCCCTGCCCTGCCTGTGTCTCCCCCCCTCAGCTGGGGTCTCAGCTCCCACTGTGCTCAGCACTGCCCTTGCTGTCCCAGTGGGGGCAGGCCACTGCTTTCCTCACTGCATCAGAGCCAGCGAGAGTCCCCAGTCTGGTGTGCAAGGGGGCAGGGAGCATCTCTCTGTCCCACCGAGTCCCAGGGGTCTGGTTACAGGCAGGCAGGTAGCCTGAGCCTAGCGGCTCCTCCCTGCTGCCAGCCAGGTCATCTGCATTTTCACTGACCATTTCCCTCTCCACCGATTGGTTCCCTGGATTCAAATTCAAACCCTCGGCAGTTACAGGAGCAGGGCCTGGATCCTGTCCCAAAGAGACACAGTCACCCCACAACAGGGTCTCGCAGCTGGTGTCCTGGGGCACCCCAACGGCCAGCCAGCCCCACCCCTCCTGTGTCTGCACAGGGATCTGGGCCATAGGCAGGGCGAGGGGCTTCGTCCCTGGGACCCTCACCCAGCTCACACAGGCCCTCAGCCTCTGAGGCTGCACCACCCAGGGTCTGACACCAGTTCTCTCTGTCCCAGGATCTCGCCACCCCAGGAATGTCTCCCCATTGACCATCCCCTTCCGCTCCCACTGGGGGTCCGAGGGGCCTGACCCCAGGGAACTCCACACAGACATATAGGTTGGGGTCAGGAGTGGGAGCCTGTCCACCTCCCCACCCATCTGGCTGATGGAGTCTGTGGCCTTGGGACCCAGCAAGGGAGCTAGACACCGGGGCTTTTCCGCAGGGTCCCCCTGGTTCAGATCTCCAGCCTGCTCAAAGGCAGTGAGGTGGGCATCCACACCCCCCCTTAACTAGGGGCAGCAATTTAGTCTCGAGGTTCCCTGCGGAACTGGCCCCCGGGATCTATCCCCACTCACCCCGGGGAGGTCCCCTCGGCCTCTCCGCCCCACCACCGCCAGTTCATCCTGCTGCTGCTTCTGCAGCTCTTTCTCGGGCTCTCGCTGTCTCCCACGGTCCTCTTGCTCTCTCAGACTCAGCTCCAATCCCGTCCGTCTCGATCCCCCGATGGGGAACCCGATCGTGAAGACCGTCTGGTCGGGGACAGGAGTCTTGGCGATGCCTGGCTCCCGCTCCAGCTGCTCCCAGATCCTGCTATAGCCCCAGTTGGGGTCAGGAATCTGTTCCTTAGAGCGGTCATCCTCCTCCAGCTGCACGATTAACTCTGCTTTGGTGAACTTTCCAACGCTCAACCCTCTCTTTCTGCACAGGGTTACAATGTCCTTCTTAAGGAGACGGTGACAGGCCATCACTCCGCTCTTCCCAAGTTGTTGTGGACTCACAGGCCCGTGTGTTCTCAGCTCCCCACGGTTTCCAGGGAGAACCCCTAGTGTGCCAGCCCTTCTCGAGGTCACCACCTCTTTGCCAGGGTCGAGCTGCAGACTCCTCTGCCCCTTGGACTGCTCGCTGCAATCCCCAGGGGAACCCTGTTACTGCAAAAGTCCTTCTCTCTCCCCGGGCCAAGCTGCAGGCTCCTCCGCCCCTGAGACTGCTCACTGCAGTCCCCAGGGGGACCCCATTACTGCACACTCCTTCTCGCTGGTCACACACTCCCAGGGGTTAACCGCTCCCCGAAACCGCTCCTTTCTGAGCCTTCAGCAGGCCTAGTCCTCGGCAATCCCCCTTCGTGTTACTGCTCCCCAGTCACTTACTGCAGGAAGCGCCATCCACGGGGTGCAGTACATCCCACCGCTGCCACCAGTTGTCACGGAGTCCCTGGGCATGCTCTGGAACTGCTCCCCATGAAGCCAGTCAGGACTCTGGGGCAGTCGCCTTTCTGTGAGCAGCCTGTCTTTAGGACACGCAGCTCACACAGCTTCCACCTTCCTGGGTCTGACCTCGGAGCATTCAGCATCCTCTGCCCCTCCGTCGCTTTCCCCCAGCGAGTCCACACAGGTGGGGCTCCTGGGGAAGCCAGAGGGTCCTGCCCCCAACTTCGCAGTCAGATGTGACTCTCAGCCAGCCAGTAAAACAGAAGGTTTATTAGACGACAGGAACATGGTCTAACACAGAGCTTGCAGGTGCAGAGAACAGGACCCCTCAGCTGGGTCCATTCTGGGGGGCAGTGAGCCAGACAACCACGTCTGCACTTCACTCCATGTCCCAGCCAGCCCCAAACTGAAAACCCCCTCCAGCCCCTCCTCCTCAGGGCTTTGTTCCTTTCCCGGGCCAGGTGGTCACCTGATTCCTTTGTTCTCCAACCCTTCAGCTCTCACCTTGCAGGGGGAAGGGCCCAGGCCATCAGTTGCCAGGAAACAGGGTGTTGGCCATTCTCTGTGTCCAGACTCCTGCACACACCTGCCCTCTAGGGCTCTGCAATGATCATACACCCTTACCCCACCACCTAGATACTTAAGAACTGCATGGGGAAACTGAGGCACCCCCACACTATTCAGAGGAAACATTAAGAACAGTCCCACTTCATCACAGAGCCCCAGCCAGAGGTTCGGCCCAGGACACCGCGGGCCGGGCGGACGCAGCTGTGTTAGCCGCGGACGGTGGGGCAGGGTCAGTGCTGGGGCTGCTGTGCCGAGCCTGGCTTGTTAATCCTGGTTTTGTTCCTTTCCCGTCTCCCCCCCGACCTGCCCCCTGCCATCGGGGCCTCCAGGTTGACTTTGCCTTCACTGTGTGGTGCAGCTTCCCGGAGCGCATCGTGGGTTACCCAGCCCGGAGCCATTACTGGGACAGCAGCAAAGGCTGGTGGGCCTACACCTCTAAGTGGACCAACGAGTACTCCATGGTGCTGACGGGGGCGGCGTTCTACCACCGGTGAGCCGGGGCGGTGCACGCGGCCGGGAACCCGGCTCCGGGCAGGAAATCCCATGGCGCTGGGGGCTGCGTGCGACGTGCCGCTGGCAAGGCAAGGCACAAACGTTCGCCCTGCCTGGCAGAGCACCGGGCAGCCTCCTGCAGGCACCAGCCACGAGCGCTGGCTGTACAGCGGGGCCAACGTACAGAGAGACTAACGCGAAGCAGTGGGGTGCTAGCGGGGCTCCCCGGGGACACCCCTGCAACCTCAGCTCTCCTCTGGCGGAGAGCAGAGCCTTCTCTGTAACCTCCCGCCCTTTGCAAGCCTTGTCCCTCCATTGCCACCCCCGCCCAGCTAACGGGGAGCCCGGTACAGACAGGCCACTGGCTTTGCAGGCTCTCGCCTCTCTCCCCGCTCAGAGCAGGTCTCCCTGATGTGCTGTACCCTCGTCCTAGCAGCTCCAGGAGCATCTCTGGGCAGAATGACTCTTGGTAAGACGATGGGCCAGACCCATCGCTGGCGCGTCTCTGTAGCCTTGGGAGGAGCCCCACCAGGACCAGTTTGGCCTGGGGTCTCATAACCCCCTCCCTCCCCGCCGGCACTCGCTGAATGCTGCCTGTTTGCCCTCTCCTTTGGCAGGTACTATCATTATCTGTACACCTTCTACCTGCCGGGCAGCCTGCACAGCATGGTGGACCAGATGGCCAACTGCGAGGACATCCTGATGAACTTCCTGGTTTCCGCAGTCACCAAGCTCCCGCCCATCAAAGTCACCCAGAAGAAGCAGTACAAGGAGACCATGATGCAGCAGGTTGGCTTCCCACCTCTTCCGACTGCCTCGAATGCATGGAATTGGGGAAGGCCCTCAGCACAGAGAGCCCAGGGGGCCGGGGGCTCAGCTGCCCCTGTGCCAGGCCTCACCCACCTCCCCAGGTGGAGGGGATGGCTGCGAGGGTCGGGGGACTAAGAATCGGTATCTGGCCTCTTCATCGTAGGACTAAGAACTGGGCTGGGCTATGGGGGCAGCCTGTGGCCAGTCAGGGGAGCAGACCTGGAGTGAGCGTGCCATTGAAGAGTGAGAGACCCGCCGGGGAAGGGCCAGTGAGCAACCCGGAGCTGAGTAGGGTACGTCTACACTGCATTGTGACAGGTTTCAGAGTAGCAGCCGTGTTAGTCTGTATTCGCAAAAAGAAAAGGAGTACTTGTGGCACCTTAGAGACTAACCAATTTATTTGAGCATGAGCTTTCGTGAGCTACAGCTCACTTCATCGGATGCATGCCGTGGAAAATACAGTGAGGAGATTTATATACCCAGAGAATATGAAAAAATGGGTGTTATCGTACAACTGTAAGAAGAGTGATCACTTAAGATGAGCTATTACCAGCAGGAGAGCAGGGGGCGGGGGGGAATAGTAGTGAATAGTAGTGAATAGGGAATTGTAGTGATAATCAAGGTGGGCCATTTCCAGCAGTTACCAGGAACGTCCTGACGTCCCCAGTGCCCAGAGGGGTTCGGAGCTGGAGTCCCTGTTCACGCCCGTCTGCGTGTGGGATGAAAGTGAAGAGCGGAGCCACCATCTTCCTTTTGTCCCCCTGCCTTGTCCCAGCGGGTCCCCAGCTCCGTCAGGACACGAGGGCCCTGGTGTCGCTCCATTGCCCCCTGCTTTGATCCCCATCCGCCCTCCCCACTGCACAGCGCAGCCCTGCTCCCCTTCGTGAATGCAGTGCCCTGGCCAGTCCCTCAGGCCCAGCCCCCCAAGGTATCCCGGTGCCTAACTCCCCGTGGTGCCTGTCAGAGCCAGCTGCCCAAATACCGCTGAGACTCTGGGCCTTCTGGCCTTGCTTGTTCCTCCAGAGGGTTCACTGGTGCATGGTGCGCACGCCCCGTAGGCTGACTGCGGCGTGGCCCTCAGCCGGTGCCAGCCTGGGGAGCCGGCGACTGGCGCAGGGGATCCAGCCGGAACCTCCCTGGTGCAGCAGAGAGCCCTGCCCCGGCCCCGGCCCCGGCCTCGGCCCCTGCCCCGGCGCGCCCTGGGACGAGGGCGATTCCCGCGCTGGGTGGGGAGGGGCTTGGGGCTGGCGCGGGGATCAGAGTCCAGCTCTCCCCTGCTGCCGTTACTTTTCGGGTCCCTGCGCTGACCCCTTGCGGCACCGGCCCGGCCCTGCACCGCCCGCTGCGGAGCCGGAGCTTGCGGCACATCGAAATGTCGCTACGTTTTCCAAAGCGGCCTCGGATTTCCGGGTGCCACCTGGGGGCACCAGGGGCCTGATTCTCAGCGGAGCTGAGCACCCACCGGAACCTGAGGCTCAGGCCCAAGCTGCCTCCAGCGGGCACCCCAAATCGGAGCCTGCTGCTGAAAACACTGGCCACAGCCTCAGCCAGCTCAGCTCCCGGTCCTTCCCGACTCGTGCTGCTCTCAGACCCGGTGAATTACCTACCGCCCAGGCAGCCCGTGGCTGAACAGAAAGGCCGATTTCTGGGGTGACAGGGGCAGGCTGCATTGTGCTGAATGTGTTTGGGGCTGGTTGTCAGGACGCCTGGGTTCTGCGCCCAGCGCGGGGGCTGGTTTGTTGGGTGAGCTCACCTGGCTGCACCTGGTTCCCCGTGTCTGGGATGGGGGTGGTGGGCAGTGCGTTGCACAGCTGTGCAGTGAAATCTGTCTAGATAAGATTCGTATCTGGCCCCTTCACCGCAGCCTCTGAGCTCCTTGCTGTATCTCTGTCCACAGCCCCCTGAGGTAGGAAAGTGCTGTTCTCCCTTGTGTGCACATGGGGAAACTGAGGCAGAGAGACTTACCAGAACAGGGAATTAAAGCTGGGTCTCCTATGGCCCTGTCTAGCGCCCCCCACTGGGCCACCCTTCCTCTAACAGGCTCCGTTATCCCTGCAAGGCTGCCGTGCCCTGGGCGTTGGAGTGACATCCCAGAGCTCCAGCACGGTGGGTGACCTCCCGCCTCTCGCGCTCAGGGACCCTCTCCCACCTTCCCTCCCCAGGGCTCTAAGACGTCCCGCTGGGCCGACCCGGAGCACTTTGCCCAGCGCCAGGCCTGTATGAACTCCTTCGCCAGCTGGTTCGGCTTCATGCCCCTCGTCCATTCGCAGATGCGGCTGGACCCCGTCCTCTTCAAAGACCAGGTCTCCATCCTGCGCAAGAAGTACCGGGACATCGAGAGGCTGTAGAGCTGCCGAAGCCGCGGACGGAGAGTGAGAAGGGGGTGAGGACCCCCCAAAGAAGACTGCGGAGAAGGGACTCCCTCTTGGGAGCCACGGAGGCTTGGCCTGAGGGGCAGGGCCGGGCTGTGGGGCACAAGCAGGGGAGACGGCCGCTGGGCCTGGCTCTGGGGTTAAACCTCTGGGGACAGCCGGAGGCTCGGGATGCAGAGCACAGAGTCCAGGGGCAGTTCTGTGACTGCTTGCTCCGTGGCTCCTATCGCTGATTGGTTCTGGTTTGATCCCATTTCCAAGCCAAGAATCGTGTCTCCTCTCTGGGCCCACGAGCTGCGAGTGCAGACGGAGCCGCACCGAGACGCCTGCTCAGCCGCTCCCTGATTTTATCTTTAGCTGCCTTTTACCTTGGTTGCCAGCAAGGGCTCAAAGCCCTTTTCCTCTGGGTGCTTCGCACACAACGACGTCCCCATCCGCAGGTCTGGCCCGCCAGAGAGCAGCCAGGGGCCGAGCCTCCCTGCCGGGCGAGCATGGGAGCCCAGGGAATCCGAGGGAGAGCCGAGTGCGCTGCCCTGTGGAGGAGGGAGAGATCTGAGTGGGGCACATGGGGCTGCCACGCACTGAAGGGGGCAGGGAGCAAAGCCCCAGGGGTGTCAGCCCCAGCAGATCCCCCGCCCCGCGCTCGCAGGGGTGGTAGAGAAGAGTCACGCCGCTCCGTGTCTGCACCAGCTCAGGACTTGACTGCGGAGCCCCGGCAGGTCGTTCTGTGTCTGGACTAGGCAGAGGGGACATCTCCCCTCCTGCCCCCTTCCAACAGGTGTCCCCAGTACATCCCGCCAGCCCCTGGGCGTGGGGGATCCCACGGCAGCCCCCAGCAGATCTTCAGCACCCTGCTCAGGCCAGAGCCAGCTCCCCCGTCTGAATCTCCCCTGGAACGGACGGGAGGAGGGCTGGCGAGGATGGCTGAGCTGCAGGCGTGCGGGCGGGTGAATGGGGTCTGCGTGGGAGGGCAAGGTTGCTGAGGGGGCAGGGTGGGAGCAGGCATGAGGAGGGGGGCAGAGAAGTGAGAGGCCCCCAGCAGGTTCTGATAAGCTGCAGAGAAGCCGGGAGCTGAGAAGCCCGGAGCTCTACGGGACACATCGTCCCAGCGTGGTGAGTCAGCTTCGTTTCCTCCTCCTCCAGGGAGCTGCCCCTCCCTCTGTGGGGGGATCTGGATCGGGGGCAGGGAGAGCTGGTTGGGGGCTCTCTGCAGAGCTCATCGGGGGCAGAGGGAGGTGCAGAGGAGAGGAACTGTCAGACATTCGCTCAGAGCCTGGAGCGCAGGCTTGCCATGGCCATACTCGGACACTAAGGCAGAGGTGTGGGTCCATGGTGGGTGTGCGGGGTCCCACGTGGTCTCCAAGGGCCAGTGCAAACCCTCCCCATCGCCGCTTTATCGTGTATCGGGGGTGGGCTGCAAAGGCATCGTTCAGGGAGCGAGTCACTGGCTGGCAGCGATGGGCCGGCGAGTCGGTCCCGAAGCCAGGGAGGAGCCCGTGAACTCCTCATCGTCACCCCCAGAGATCAGTAGCTTTGTTGCTCCAGCCGCCTCTGGCATGCACAGCGATGAGATGACGACGGGCTAAGGAGACCGAGCCGGAGGGCCGGGGAGGCAGGTGCCGGGGTGAGACCTGCTCCCGCCCGGGAGCCGCCTGATGAAGAGTCAGACAGGACAGGCTAGAGCCCTGGGAGCCAGACGCCAGGTTAGTTACAATGAAATAACTGAGGCCTCCAGAGAGCAATAGGCCGCAGGTGCCTGCAGGAGAGGGGGAGGAAAACCTCTTGCCACTTGCCCCTCCCCTTCTCACCAGCTCTGTCCGGCCCGGCTCCCGTTTGATCCCTCAGCAGGTCAGGGTGGAAGTAGCAAGGGGCTGGCTCCAGGTGTCCTCGTTCCCACCTGCCCACAGTGCCGGCTGCCCTGTCTCCCTGCCCCAGTTCAGCCAAAGGTGCGGGCTGGAGGTGGGCTTTGAGAAAGGCGACGGGCTCCCCGCCCTGCCCCAACGCTCTGTTCGAATGTGTCTCATGCAGCAGCAAAATCAGAACGTTTTATGGCGACTCAGATGTAAAACCCCCTCCTAGGAACACCTGTAAATGCCCATTTTGTATCAGGATTTGTTGAATTAAACTGAACCGAGACTTTGTCAAGGGGCCTGTGCTGTGGTTTCTGTTCAGGGCACGGCCACGGTGTGTTTGACCCCAGCCCCGTATTGCCCTGGTCAGCGAAAACCTCTGGAAGCTGCGTGGGAGTGGCAGACTCGGGCCAGAGCAGTGACGTCAGAGTTTAGCCTGGTTCTTGCCCTGCCCCAATCGTCACAGCGCAGGGAAGAGACGTGAGTCTCACAGGCCGGAGCTGAGCCCTTGGGGCCAGCTGCACGTTTCCTTGGTTCTGATGAAGGTTAGCTGTGCCATTGAGCCCCAGATCCTCCCGTCCGTAGTTAGGCAGAGCTCCCTGGTGAAGGGCTGCAGGAACCAGCCCTGAGCAGGGCCCCATGGCTCAGCAGCAGGGGCGCTGTGTGATTTAGGCCTCGTGTATGCTAGAGAGTTTAAATGGCAACAGTTCTGCCGACAGAGGGCTACTGTCAAGGCTATTTCAGCAGAGGGCGTTTACATGGCATCAGATTGTAGCTGCAAAAGACAAGTGGCTCCGTGGGCTGGCATCCCAGTGTCCCCTGTGCCACCTTCTGACGCCTTGTGGGGAATTTTGGCTGTGTCTTGTGGGATATCCTCACTCCTCACAGGGAATTTGGGACTGTGGGGTCGAATTCCCATAAATCCTTCGGTTCCATCCCATAATCTACTCTTATGCGCTCTGTTTTCAGCTGCACTGCTGAAACCATGGATGCAGCACTGAGCAGCAATGCTCTGGGGTCCATTTTAAGGCCGGGACAAGGCATTCTCTCGTATTTGCAAGCCCACCGTGTTCAGAGACATGGTACCGAGGATGAGTGGGCAGCAAAAGACATTGTCCAGCCGCGATAAGCATTTGCCGACCAACAGGCGCTGAGCGGTGGCATTGGGGTGTGATGCAGAACTAGGCCGACCAGCAGAACTTTTGGACATGGGAGGCCACATCCCTGGAGCTATGTGCCAGGCTCGCCCCGGCCCTGCAGCACCCAGGCACTGAGACGGCAGCTGCCCTGACTGTGAGGAAATGGGTGCTGAGAGCCAGGTGGGAGCTTGCAGCCCCACATTGCTATCGGGCGGCAGGCAAGGAGTTTGCTGCTGGGAAAAGCCACAAGGAGGGTGATTGTCATCCAGGTGCGCAAGGCCAGTAAACGTGTCCAGCTGCACAGCAGTGTGACCGGACAGTGTGCAGGAAATAATAGATGGAGTCAATGAACTGGGCTTCGCTGGCTGGGCAGGGGGTGATAGACGGGCTGCACATTCCGATCCTGCCTCCTTCCCTACTTGCCTTTGAGGGGGACTCCTCCATGGTTGAGCAAGCTTTGGTGGAGCACCAGAGATGATTTACTGAACAGAGCATAAGAGCAGCCATACTGGGTCAGACCAAAGGTCCATCCAGCCCAGTATCCTGTCTTCCCACAGTGTCCAGTGCCAGGTGCCCCAGAGGGAATGATCAGAACAGAGAATCATCAAGTGATCCATCCCCTGTCGCCCATTCCCAGCTTCTGGCAAAGAGAGGCTAGGCTACTGACACGTTGGCTGGGGTGGGAAGGTCCATGGTGCTTTATCTTTAGGAACACAGCACCTCTTGACAGGTTGAAAGCAGGGACGATTCTCCCAGACAGGCCTATTGGCATTAATGGGTTCCAAAGCCCACTTGGAGTCTCAGGGATCGAGGCCACCCTTTGCTCCCCTGGCTCATGAAGCCTGACACCAAGCTGGTGGTGGATTCTCCGTCTCTGACCATTTTAAAATCAAGATTAGATGTTTTTCTAAAAGATCTGTTCTGGTTCAACCAGGAATTAATTCAGGGCCATTCTCTGGCCTGTGCTATACGGGGCGGGGTGTGTGTGTGTCAGGCTCGATGGTCACAGTGGTTCCTTCTGGCCTCAGAATCAATATCTTTGTGACGGGTACCACACCCCCAAACTGAGCTATCTGAGTGCAAACAGCAGACACCAGGCAATTTCCCAGCTCCCCAGGCTCACCTCCCCCTCTACCCCCGGAGTATAAACCCAAAATTATACCGTCTTGCACTGCACAGGGACGTGTACAATGTAAGCTTATTAATAACGTTCGCCTTCCCCTCAATGTGGGAGGGATATGCAACAAGCCTGTGTTAACCAAGCTGAGATTTTCCCCAGACACTTCAGTCAAAGGTACTGTAGTTTAGATCAGGCAAAAAACAAGTTTATTAACTACAAAATGATAGATTTTAAGAGATTATAAGCGATAGCAAACAGATCAAAGCAGATAACCTAATAAACAAAACTGCAAACTAATCCTAAAATATCGGAAAGATTGGCTATGAATTAGCAATTTCTCACCCTGGCTGATGATACAAGCAGTCCACCGGGTTTCCATACACAGGGTAGAAATCCTTTTAGCCTGGGGTCAGCACTTCCCTCAGTTCAGTCTTCTTTCCTCAGGTGTTCCCAGGAGTGTCCTTGTGTGGGGAATGAGGCCACTAGATGATGTCACACTTCACCTTGTATAGCTTTAACATGTAGCAGGAACCCCTTGTTCCAAAAACTGTTCCCAGCCCAGTTTGTGGAAAAATACAGGTACCCAAAATGGTCTTCAGCGTCACATGGTCTGGTCGCATGCCCTTGCTGAGTCATAGCAGCCAATACTTACTGGCTAGCTGAAACGTTACAGGAAGGCTAAATTCTCCCATAGCCCATTGTCTTTGCTGATGAGCCATGAGCACTGTCTGGCTTCCTCATTGTGCCCGCTGTGGGTGTTTTCCAGAGTAAGCACATTTGAAATACAGATACCTGGTTAACATACATAACTTCAGGTACAAAAATGATACATGCATACAAATAGGATAATCATATTTGGCAAATCATAACTTTTCCAATGACACCCTAGATGACTCATCTTGTACAAATTGCATCATAATTATTGTCATTAGATGCTACCGGTGTGGTGCTCTGCTCTTGTTCGATGATGATAACAGTCTGCTGCGTGCGTGCTCCCTCTGTGTGCTGCCCCGGCTCTGTGCAGATCGCTGACACAGCAGACCCCGAGAGAACCCGCAAAGACCACAGACTCTGATAAGGTACGAAGGCACCCGGCCACGTTTATTGTCCAGCGAAACACAGTCTCTAGCTCATCGGATTAGATATCGATGGGTCTGCTAGTACTTATGTGCTCCCTGACAATGGACACAGCTCAGTCAGTGGTGGGACTTTCCACTGCCCCCTAGGCCAGACCAAGACACCGCCCCAGGGCTGTATTCTTATACACAGGTACAAACAAGTTACACATCACTCCTGACGTATCGAGGGGCAACCCCTCTACGTAACAAGGTGCCGCCTCTCTCCTGGTTCGAACAAAACAACTCTATCCATCTTTTGCCCCTGTCTTTAGGACGGGTCCGCCTGTTCCTTGTTATCTGTGTGGAATGTACAGTGTTCTGGTACCGTTTAGGTTTGTGCACTTTTGCAACATCAGCCCTTTCCTTGCCAGCTTCTGTGAGCAGGGCCTGCCTCTGGCTCACAGCTTAACTTTGCTTTATGCTAGCAAAGTCTTGACATTACTTTTAGCTCAGGCCTTAGGCCTCATACTGGGCCTCTGATACAAGGGTTTATGTTTCAGGGCCTCATCTAACTACAATTATATCATAATCATATCATAATTATACCCCTATAATGAATATGGGGTGTACTGTCACAATATTAACCCAATAACTTGTGTTTGATATAAGAATGAATGGCAGGGCAGGGGCAGGGTCAACGTTATGACTTTGCCAATGTGCCAGTTAGATTTAAAGCTGAAATTTAACAAACTAGCTTTGCCAGTGGGGTCAGTGGTATAGCCAATATTGGAATGGAATTTAATTAGGGTAACCCCTCTATATTGAGGCCAGGGAGAACTAGCTATTAACCTGAATACCAGGTTCTTTCCAGGTCTACTTGTACCTTGAACGGCACTTTCCAAAACACTCAGTTCTTAACCAGTCAACAAATGTATTAATTCACAAAGGCCCACAGAGGTCTCTAATCTGCAGCATTATAGAGCAAGTGCAGAGTTCAGAGGCGCAAGGTGGGTACTCAATACAAGACTGTCTTGTAAGCGACTGACACAGACAGGATTGAGGCCGAGCAGTTACACGACAGAGCAACAGGAATCACCAAAGTTTCTCATTACATTTATTCATCACCAGTTACCAGTGCTTTAGGATGTCCAGTGCACTTATCGTGCTTTAGGTCAGTCTCCAAGGAGTCGGGATGCTCTTGTCTTAGCCTGGAAGCTCTTTGGGGCAGGGGCTGTCTTTGTTTTGTGCTTGTACAGCTCCTGGCACCATGGGGTCCTGGCCCATGACTGGGGCTCCCAAGCGCTGAGAGAATTCAGGCAGGTGATTAATCCGAACGCACAGGTGTGATTGTGGTCCCGGCTCTTTCCAGTCTTTGATCTGAAAGGGACTTGGTTAAAACACCAAAAGCAAGTGTTGAACATTATGGTGTGATGTTCTCTTAGGCCAGCTACGTAGCCTTACAAAGGAGAAACATCCACACAGCGTTGCTCCGTTAAAAAGCAGCGTATGGTTACTTCTGGCCTCGCTAGCCAAAGTGCAGCCTCCACAAGGGACCTTCCAGTTACTTCTGTTAAAGAATACGAGGAGAAATACAGTCGCTTACATAAAACTCATCACAGTAACCCGGGGAGAGGGCAGAGCCTTTCATGCAGCGGGGTCAAGTATCCAGCAGCCCTTCTCATTCTGCAGCCTGTTTGTGGGTTCAGCCGAACTCAGGATACCACCTGGAGACCTCAGGTTTTAGGGTTTGCTGTAGGACTCCTGTCAAATGGGCTCAGATTTCAGAACTCTGTTTCTCTGCCACTTCTGTTAATGCCCAGTAGATGGCAGCAATGTGTAAAAAATGTCTCTGATTCATTCTCACTGCAGAGACTATTGCATGGGGGGCTATTTGAATCATACGATAAATAGCTTTATACCCTGGGGGCCCATTAGGCCTGACACAAGTTCTCCCCAGGACACACAGTTCCTTGCCTGA